TTACTCTTCATTTCTTTCTGCTTCTGTTAGTAAGGAACAGCAATGTGCTTCAGCAATGCTTGTAACAATAAATTTCCACATTTTCTGTACTCAGATTTTAAAAATATGCAATGGTAGTGTATATATTATGTAAAAATGACCACATTACAAATACTTTTTTCTGAACTTCTAAGATTTAAATGTTTGGAATTGTTTACCATGACCACCTGAGCATGAAATGAGAGATTTAGCAAGGGTGAAGAATGAAAACCTCATTTTATCATGTCCTACACTCAGAGCTTAATCCCAGTTTTACAGTTCAATCTTAACCCTACTTAACCAGCATAAAATATGTTTATTTCAGTATTAAAGCTACTTGCTGCTCATCCTTGTTCTGGTTCTCAAGTACTCCCTGCCTGGCTAATGGAAAAGTCCATCTACATTTAAACTTCTGTTCTCAGAAAATACATGCCATTATGTATTAGCTATAGGGTTTATAGGCTGAACATTGCAGTGAAGAGCACTGAGGCTGGGAAGAATAAACTGGAAGAGCCATTTGGCTCAGGTATCCCAAGAAATGCACATGCAATAGAAGAATCAATTTGTTAGTCACTGGGAAAGTATTAGCAGTTTTCATTTAACAACAACTACAGAAGTGTAGGTGCTGGAATTCAGAGAAAAGAAAAATGCATTACTGGGGGGAAAAAAGTTACTTTTCTCATTATTGGAGTACTATAATCATAGTTGAATTCACTATGTACAATTGCTCCTTGATGGTTCTTGTTGAGTAATTTTGTTCAATAAGGGTCTGTCAATACAATTTGCTTTCAAATGTCAGTTTATACAATATCAAGAATAATGGGCTCACTCAGGTGCACTTGGAAATTGTAATAAAATATTAATTTTGGGCAAAAGAAAACTGATAATCATCTAGTTTAGTACTCTACAATTATGCTTGAGTTTTTTGAGGAGCTCTGTGGAATAAATGTGAACATTGTAATGTGTGTGTTAGACAAAGAGCCATAAATAATTAGGCAGTAAAACACTGAAGAGGGGATATTCTCTGTAGAATGTGCTTTTTGTTGAAGAGGAGTCCAGGACAGCAGTGAGCAAACCATCCTATACCACTTCCAATTTCTGGAAAGAAAGTGCATACTCAATTTCTTGCATGCAATATATTTCTTGGGGTTCACGAAGGTGGGTTGTTTCATCAAGCCACATTTCTTTGCTTCTGTTTTTCCTTCAATGTCAAGCTGGATAGTTAGCCCTTGCTAATTAAGTGGAAGGAAATAACTGATGGTCATACTTCATTAAAAAAGTCACATCAGGACACTGTCACTGAAGTTTCAGAGAGGAGCTCTGTGAGTGGAATGGTACAGCTGCTGGGCATGCAGGGAGATGAGATTCACAGAGAGGAGTTTATGGCAAGAATAATTTTGATGGTTCTTCTACCTCTCCTGCTAATGCAGTTTGAATGCTGAACAGTCTGAGGGAGGGGTTTGGCTAACAGAACTTTTCCATGGTTGCTCACAGCCTTGCACCCACTTCTAGTTCTTGTTGACAGAAAAACTCAGTGAAGGAGTTTAGCTTGAAAGGAACAGTAGGAGAGGTATTTGCTTTCCTTCTTTTCCTTTCCAGCTCAGCAAACAGCAATCTCTGGCTTTTCAAATACAGCAGCACATTTGTACAAAGACAGCAGCCTGTAATTTCTGCCAGGCAGCAACAAACCCTTTACAGTCACTTCAGTCAGGAGCTGCAAGAGGAGAGAGCTGAGAGCTTCCCCAAAGTGAAGTCAAGAACAGGGAGTTGAGTTTGGAAGAGCTGGAATGGGAAGAGAGAGATGCAGCTCTGATAATTTATAATATGGGTTTTCACAATGAGTGTGTGTGTCATGAAGGCAGCTTCCACAGCTTGTGGCACTGTCAGTATGATGAGGAGTGTCAATGCTAAATGGTTTAAGAATTCTATTTAATATATGCAAGGCTATCACTTGAGAAAAAGTACTTACTGCTCATGTGAATCCATCTGTCACTGTGGCCCTATATCAGCCAAGTCATGTCAATTTGTACTGCTAACAGGTGGAATAACAAGGAATGAAGGAATTTGTGACATAAATGATAGCTAAATAAAAAGGAAGATGTTGTCTGCAAATGGGCTTGTTTTTGCAAGAATCTAGGATAAATTTTGCAGGCCTGCTTACAGTTTTGCTTCTGGTGAAACTGCTGTACAGCACTGACAGACTTTTGATGTAACTATCAAATATAAGCACTATTGCATTAGAAGTTATGTCTAGGCTTAAAAAACACCTACATTCGAGACAATCTATTTATGCAGAAAGATGTAATGCCTCATCCCAGCAGCATAAATTAATCTTGAAGTTGGCTAAATGAGGGTACCTTTTACATAAGAGAATCCCTGCACAGTGTAAAAGCTGAATTACACAAAACTGAACATCAGCTATCAATGCAATGGTAAAAGAAACACACTCCTTCAACTACTGAATTAAAGTAGAAAAGGAAAAAAGGAAACCAACAGCTGCATGGCCCTGCCAAGCTGCTTTCTAGACACTTATTTATAGCAGGCTTTCTAGTTTAGTTTTGTGTTTCATTAAAACATCTGTGGTGAATTTTGTAGAAAAGAGATCTAAAAGCATTTTGTCTTTAGTAAGCACATTTTCTGAGTATTTGGAAGGGAATCTGCCACTTAACTTGAGTTAAAGGTTTTGGTAAATAAAAAGCATCTCATTATCTTTGTTCCCAATGACCCTAATAGCAGAATAATGCTGGCATTTTAAGTCTCCCATGTAGTTAAATTAACTGAAATCTTACCCATAATCAACATGGGAAACAATTAGATTATAATTCTGTAGTTATTAAATGTTAAGTACCTCTGTTAGGCTTCTGAGACCTACTGTCCAACCCAACCCCAAATATCTCCACTGAATCATGCACAGCCAGAGAGTCAATTCTGAGTCTCTTACATCCCAGAGCAGCACTACCTTGTCAAGATTTGTTTTTCTGGCTTTTTTTTTCCTTCAAAAAAGGTATGGGATTTTTTTTTTTTCCTCATATGTCAAGCAAAGCTGCTTAGCTGTTTAGAAATGGAAAGGGCATCCCCTGGTCATCTCTGATACAAGAAGAGGCAATTCAGAATTTGTACTGTGCTTAATATAAATGTAAATATGATGAAGTTAAAAAGGAGGAGTTAAATAGCAGCACTACAGGTAAGATTGTTGAGATACAACTGTTAGCAGCAATTTCTGACCTGCACTTCAGAGCTTCATGCCACCTGACCCCCCACATGCATTCTTTCTCAAAGGAACAAATCTCATCCATTGATTTATCATAGTTCTTCATTGTCTTTCAACAATCTGAAAATCTTCCCTTTCTCTTGGGTTGCTGCTTTGCTCACTTTTTTTTGTTGCTTTTGACATGATCAAACAACATTTACCTCCATTAACTGACGAGGATATCTGTTAAACATAATACAGTTGCATTTCTATTTTTTCCCCATTTTCAATGTTTCATCAGATTGAACCAGAACTGTTAGTAAAAGACATTTAATAGCAAGGCATAATGAATGAGTTTCATTAAACAAACTATGTCTAAGAGTTTTAAGTCCATAAGATCAAAAGCTTTACAAGCAGTCAGAAAACAACAGTCCTGAGGATCTTACAAAATTAACTTGTAGGTAGGGAGGTAGTTGAGAAGCCAATTCATGAATTTGAGGCCATTTGTAATTTAATAGAATCAGTGGGATGCTCTACATAACACTGTGTTCAAAATATAGAATTTTATGGGGCCTGTAGTATTTCCTCTTCAATAGTTTAGTTACAGGTACCACCTTATTGTAATGCTGACTGCCACAATACCTAAGGGCTGTTAAACACTCTGAGATATCCCATGGAGAAAAAAATATGGAAAGTATTCCACAAACTGTCGACAAAAGAAACCCAAACAGTCATAAGAAAAGAGATCAAAACTGCTGAGATGCTTCTATTCAAAGAAAGCAAAGAAAGAAATAATAGCACTTGAAATAAAAAGTAAGAATCATCTTGTAATTAGAATTACTGCAGTAGATAAAATGGGGCACAGAGAAATACAATAGTTTCTTTTCTATAGCAGGTCAATAACAATATTATGTAATTTTCCAATTTTCCACCTCTTTTTACCAGAAGAGGTTTTTTTTTTTTATTTCAAGAAAAACTTTTAAGTAACACTACAGATAATGCAGAATGTCCAGAAAAGATACCAGCCTGACATTAGCCCATGCACAGATCCATTTTTACACAGAAATATGTAGTTTGGAAAGGCACTTTGATTCAGTTTTAACTATAGTTATATGTAGTTACTTTTCATTTATTACTTTTGATGGAAGATGGTGTTTAATGGCTCCAGGAGAGAATGGGTAACACAAGTAGCCTGTCTTGGAAAGGATGCTCTAACTTGTCCTCAGTCATTTAAAGAGAATTACAAGAGTTCAAATCATGGTAAAAGTTATTTTAAAAAATTAAAAAAGCTGTTTCCATGAGATACAACTTGCAGCTAACAAAGCACAAAGGTTTCAAACACCAAATTAATACATAATTAAGTTCTCCCTGTCCGAACTTGCTTTGCTTCCATGTTTTAGCAAGCAAATAAAAATTTTTAGGGAAGAGTCACAGAGTCACACAAATTCTGAGATTTTACAGTGGCATGTTTAAAATTCTCCTTCTTTGGTACACATGGACATGCTTCATGAAATGGATGATTAGAGGATACCAGGCCTTCTCTTCCAATATTTAGGTTGGTCACTTAACTGCAGAATTCTCCCTCACATTAACTCAGGAAAATGGCTCATCCCCAAGAAATTATTATCTTTTCCATTTCCTTTTGGTTTGTCTTTTTATTGGAAAGGACATCCGATCTCCCTGTCTGACCAATATCAAATTTTATTTCCCTGAGATGTGTGAAGAGATGGGGCAGAGAGTGAAGAAAAAAAAAAATAAAAATTGATGTGTGGGAACAGGCTGGAATACCTACCAGAGGAAATGCTGGGGGGTAAAGATCCACCCCCTGCCACTGGATGTGAGGCCAGGATGCTATTTAAAAATCCCGCCCTCAGGAATCTCGAAAGAGACTTCACCCCAATGGTCGGAAAGGATCCTTTCAAAGAAATAAAAATGATCATTAATCAAATGACTTGTTCACTGGCTGACAAAAGAAGTTGAGTGTTTAAAGAAAGAACAACCAAATCTCTGCAGAGTTAACAGTGGTTTCACAGGAACAGATCTCATGAAAAGCAGCTAAAAGCTTTTGTTTGCTTTTTAACCAAGTCATACAACACACAGCTTTACCCATAAAAAAAAAATTCTGCATAGTTTGCAAATGGAGAATTCCAGCTCTTCTAGGAGCAGTAGAAAAATTTGGTGTTTCAACAGCAAATTGCACCTGTGGGATACTCATAATGCATTCCAAATGACTCCAGCAAGGAGGCACATTACGATTGTATGTTCCAATCAAAGACAGACCAGTAGGGGTGAGGCTATACCAGCAAAGCTGGTTTACACCAATATTTTACACCTGACAAAAGTCACATCAGGCAAGGGGCAAAGGGGAACCAGAATTTGCAGCTAAAATACTGAATTCTGTGTCAAGGCAGCTCCATCAGTCAGAGCTTCTGTCACACCTCCCAACACCTGTCAATACATTGATGCAGGCAAAAACCAGGAGTAAGGGTGATGCCTAAAGATTTTCAGCTTTTTCTTATATTTTTCATATAACTGTAGCTTTTTGATTTTAGGCAATGTGGACATGGCCTCTTTCTGCTTTGCTCTCACCAGAAGCTCAACACATTTTATGCTTTCAATATAATAAACTGTACATTCCTCTCATGGCCTACATGCACGGTTTTATTCCTGGAAACAATGATTATCTCATCCACCTCTTTTAGAACAATTTGTGACATATCTACTGCAGTGGTGAGAAATGAAGATGCCTTAGCATTTGATTCACTGTTTCAGCTTTCAGCATTTGTACAGAGATCTGCAGATATCATTTCAACTTCCTCATGTTCGTGCTCAGTGAGTGCCAGCATCAAAGATGGATTTGAAATGACAGCTCTGCACATCTCACTTAAAAGCACAGGGTCAAGATTCCCCCACCTGGCAATAAATCTGAACTGACAATCAGAATAATCTGGGTATTTTTGCAAGTGCATCAAGTAAACATCTATCCAAAAAGTTAGGCATTGGCAAGTTTTTTCTTGCTCATTTTGCAGGTACTTCATATTTGTCCTTTTAAGAGACACAAGGCATGTTGATCTTTATAGACAACGAGAAAAATAAATGGCCTTCAGCAGTTGGGATTTTTTCCCTCACTAATAAAAATAGTGAGGAAAATTTACTCTCAAAACACACATGCACTTGTTGAATTTAAAATAGCCTAAGAGAGCTTTGAGTTTTTTACTTTTATTTTCAAGCAAGAATTCTAATGTTTCCCCTCAGTCCATCTGTCCTTTAAATTTGTTAATTAGACATGCTGCATTCTGTGGAAAAAGAATTAATGTAATTGCTGATCTAGATGCAGTGCTTTTCTATCTGATGGCTAAAGGTAAGTTTTCCCTCTGGACACTCAAGAAAAGTCTTTGGCATTCCTATAAAAATGTTTCCAAATTCCATGGCTTTCACTTTAAAATATCTGAAGACGTGATCCTGGACAGACAGTACACAATGCAATACACAGAAATTCAATTTTAAAATGGAAATTGTTCCATTAACTCCAAGATGTTTGATACTAAACAGCATCTTAAAACATAAAGGCTAAATAATGAACATATGAAGACTTCCCAAATAGAACATTGCTCCTCTGTTTCAAAATATAAATTACACCAACCATAAAGTACAGCCACTGAGTCACACACCATATGTACAGACCTTCAGAAAAGCCAAACAGCTTCAGCTTCACCACTGACATTTTCAAATGCTGTTAAATGGCAAACAACTCCAGTTTCCTAACAGTCTTACAATAAGTTACTTTGTTATAGAAAGTAATGAAGACAACCTCAAATTTATTTCACTTATTCTACGTATTCAGAAATAAAAAAACCCCAAGGAGCAGTGAATTTCAGAGCAAGTAAATCTATGAATACTAAGAACTAGAGGGCTAAAATCATTGAGGTTTTATAAATAGCAAATAACTAAAAGAATACATATAAATAACACTTTTTCTCTCACACTCAAAAGTCAGGGTTCAGTTGCTTAAGTGTAAATGGTTTGTGTCATTTGAGATGCTCTAAAATATCTGAGACATTCCCAAGTGAGTGGCAGACATGACAAGATCACAGGAGATTTACACTCTGAAAGTGGCAGCAAGAAGCAAAGCAGCAGTTAGATATTTAAGAGTAGGCACTGAGTGTCATTTTAGTCAACTCGAGACCATCAAGTCTCCTGTCACCTCAGAAATGTCTCTGAGTAAGCAGAACTCAAGAGTTACAGGAACAAGACCTCGTTTAGTCTCTTCTGGAAGTCCACAAACACCTTCTGCAAAGCACAAGGTTGGTAACATTCAGCCCTGACCAGTATCCATCAACAAAAAAATGCAGATAAATGAGAGATTCAGAGTTCAATCATCTTAAAACATTCATGGCTCTAAATTAAAATACAGCCCCAGGATGAAATTTTTTTCACCCCAGGCATGCTTTTTTCATCATGTGCACAATGTGAAAAGGGTTTGAGACTTGATTACATGATTTTATATTGGGAAGGCGATAATCACTACAGATAAAGCAAATTAATTCTTGTTATGCCACATCAATCACCACCAGATGGACAGAGCTTTGGGCATTTACAGTAGTTTAGAAGTTACTCGAATATTTCCTTCTTTGCATAAACGTTCATGAAATATTTGAATTAATTACACAGAATCACAGGATGTGTAAGGTTGGAAGGGACCCCTGGAGTCAGTTAGTTAACCAGATTTCTTGAAAATTTTGCCATTCTGTCAGTCCACATCATAGAGACTCGTGCTTCCCACCATTTCTATTGTTTTCTGCAGAAATTAGCACTCATTTTTGCCATGGGTGCACTCACAGTAATGGGAAGATCTTTCAGTACAAGAGTCTAAAAGGAGACAAGAATATTAAGCCATGACTCCTCAGTGCCCTCAAATGCAGTTGTTATTTAGCTCCTTACAGTCATGGATTTATTGAGAAAACCCCAACCTCTCCCCGCCCCACAGTTATACACTATGAACAGTGTCACCTTAACATGGGAAACCACATTGGTTACAATATTAGCTGGAAAAGTGTGTTGAAACTGTAGAAATATATGGCAATACTCAGAATAGCTGACAGTTCATGAAGTATCCACCACTTTCTGAGCCCTGTGATACCAGTTGATAACTCAGTGTAAATTCTTCAGTTTCACAATAATTACAGCTAAGTGCCTGAGCTTAGAGGCAGTGGGAGAGTGCTGAATCAATTAGCCTGCTTTCCACCTTCAGCTGCTGTTCCTGGGGGAATATCATCCCACAAATTGTGGAATTTGATAGGGGAAGTCACTGGTACAGCATCCTAAACTGGCATGGGTTTAGTAGGATATTATCCCACTGAGCAGAAGGGCAGGAGAAGGTGGCTGGGCAAAGGAAATCCATATGCTTAGTTGAGCTCCAGAGCACAGACATTAATTCACACCCAGTTATTGGCACTGCAGGGTCACAGCATGGCCAGCCAGGGGGAACAGCCACTGCTCCCAGCCCACATCCCATGGCCTGGCACCAGCAACAAAACTGTGCCCTGTTCTTTGTCATTGCTGGCTTTCCTTATTTATTCAATACTTTCTGCAGGTGGAACTGACCTTTTCATGTGCTGTATACTTCTGAGCATCTAGCAGCTACAAATTCAAAAGCAGCTCTTTGGCCATTTAATTTAACAAACTGGACTGAGAAGCTCTAGGGAGGTCACAATTGCCTTCTTCTATTTGTTTTTACAAGTACCATCTCTTTATTGGCACTAGCAAAAGAAGACTTTAGTCTGTTATTCCTTTCCCACAGATTTGGTTTGGAAAAAAAACCAGAAAAAATGCATGAGTGGTGTATTTAATGTAAAAATCCCTATTGCTATTTGTTTCTATATAGTCAGATCTCTTGATGCTCTCCATGCAGAGATTGTTAAAACCCAGCTAAGAGAAAACTCTCAGAAACTCTGCAGATGAAGGCTTTGGGGAAATGAGGGCTGTAAAAGTTTTGCATTCAGTTTGGCAGGAAGCAACTGGCTGCTTTCACTCCAAACTGCATTTTCATGTAGGGTGGGCTGAACATTTAGTAACAAAATACTGGAAGAGAGAATGCAGAAAGTTTTCCTGTTTCTGCATAGGGGAATTATCCAATTTTATCACTTAATGTCTGAGAGAAGACTGACTTCTCTTATGAGCACTTCCCATTCTAAAATAAAACCTGTTTTTTTATTTTTACTGGTCTTTTCTGGGTTGGAGCATTTTCTTCCAAAATTATTTGAAATAGATCCATTATGGAAACTACTGAAAACCAGTCGACTTTTCTCTCACATGATTTTATTGATTTATCCTTCCTAGACGACCAGGAATGGCACATTACTTCATAATCTTTTATGAGGGAACATATGGAAGATTTTTATAAGGAATGGCTTTATAAAACTTTGAAATTATGATGTCAGATTACAATTTTTAGAGCACTCAAAAGGATTGACTTGCAACGGAGAAAAAAATCAGAAGCAGGGAAAAATATATCCCTGATGAATTTGTTGGATCATGTTTTCAGTACATTTAGAAAACATAAACTTTTTTCAATGCAATAATCTGGAGATTTAGAATACACTCTTTATTTATTTTAGAGCTTTTTTCATGAAAGCAAGGGCTGATAGAGTGGTGTGCCTAAATTCTTACACAAATAATTCACATGTCTTAGAAAAATCTAATTTTCAAGATCACTAAATAGTATTTTTCAATAGACATCATGAAATATTAGAGCTTAACAAGAATTGACAAAAATTACTGTGCTTAACCCCTGCTGAAATCACAGAACACAGAATGGTTGAGGTTGGAAAGGACCTCTAGAGGCCACCAAGTCCAAGTGAATCATGTGAGGATTTCCATTACCTTGCAAATAACACAGTGAAACTCCTGAATTCT